AGGCTGGCAGGTGTAAGGCTGAAATGGCTGCATGCCACAGCAGTAAAATGCCCACAACATTCACACATTTATGATCATTTTGGTGATGCTTCCAATCCAGGCTGAGGGTTTGGAACGAAGATTTCAACAACGAAGATTTCTAATGGACCAAACATATTAGTGTCAACAGCACTAACGCAGCTTCAGCTGGCAGGAGAGAGGAAAACCAAGCGTATCTGCATTATTTACTCCAGAGAAGCTAGCTGAGTGCCATCTGTTCTCAGCCACCCACCCCCACCCAGTGCAGCCCTATCTGTCCTACACTTTTGTCCTGCTTCTGTGAGCCCCCTCAGTCTCGGCCCCAGAACCTAAAGTCCCAAGGCTTCCCTGAATACACATTTGGAAAGTTCACTTCAACAATCACTGGTAACACAGAAGATCTCTTAATGCTGCAAAGTATTGAGTTTGGAGGAGAGTTCCACAAGATGGTGGCATAGCAAGATCCTGAGCCCACTTGCTCCCAAGGACCCACCAAATATACAGCTACATATGGATTGTTTTTCTCAGAAAAAGATGAGAACTAGATGAACTGCCTCGCTACAACAAGAGGTTAGAAGACCAACACTGAGATGGGTAGAAGTAGAGGCACAATCTCACTGAAAACTCCATCCCCAGCCTGAAACACAACATGGATCTCATCAGTCTGGCACTTCTGCTGGAAAAAGAGGTTGGTGCTCATGTCAGTCACCCCAATCCCTGGGACCTGCACCAGAGTGATGAGCTCCCCCCCCACCCCACCCCCGCCAACATCTGACTTAGAAAGTCAACAGGGCTGACATCCAAGGGACCCAAAGTGCTGTAGGAAACTGAGACTCTCCTTTCAAAGGACTTGATACAGTCTCATCTGTCCCAAGACCCAGCAGAAAAGCAGCAGTTTGATAAGCACCTAAACTATATGTAAAGGAGATTCATTTACTAATCTAAAAGCATCCGCTAGAGGGGTAGGGGACAGCTGAAACTACCCCCTGGGGATGGAGGTACTAGCAGATGCCATTTTTGCACACTTCATCTACCCTGCTAGCAGAGATGGGTGAGCCTGGACACAGAGCCCTCCCACCACTTTGCTGTGACAGTCAGGGGCCAGGGTAGCAGCACTATTTTGCTGCCTTGCTGAAGCCAGCAGCACAGGTGGCTGTAGCATTCCCCTACTCCCTGAATGAGGCAGGCAAACTTGAACAGTGGCAGCACCTTCCTGCTCCCTAGCTTAAGCCTGTGAAGTGTGGAAAGTTGCAACACTTTCCCCATTCCCTGGCTAGGGCTAGCAAGTGTAGCAGTCATGGCATTCTCCATCTCCCAAAATAAAGCTGGTACACTCTGTTGCTGCATTTCTGAAGCTCCTGGGCACTTCCAGTTAAGATATTTTCCTGCTGCTTTACTGAAGCCAGAGAGTATGCCCCACCCCCTATACTTTCTGCCTAGCTAAAGCCAATGGGGGCACCCCAGAATGCCCCTTAATGACCTGGCTCTGGTGTCCAAGGAGGCTAGCATTTGTGAGCTTCACAGGAATATAACAGAAAGACAGTTCTTGGAAGGCCACCAAGCCCAGGGCACTGTATGGACAGAAGACTAAAACACGACTGTAATCTTCCTGTGAAAAGGTTTATTTACTTAACCTGGAGCTTCAGCCTGAGGGACAGGCTTCCAAAATAATTTGAGAGAATGCTTCCAAACTCATTTTATGAGGTCAGTATTACCCTGATACCCAAACCAGACAAGGACACCACAAAAAAGCAAAATTACAGACCAACATCCCTGATAAACAGAGATGCAAAACTTATCAACAAAGTATTAACAAACCAAATCCAATGATACATTAAAAGGATCATACATCATGATTAACTGGGATTTATTGCAGCATGCAAGGATGGCACAACATCCACAAATAAATTGCAATATACCACATTAATATAAGATTAAAATATGACCATTTCAGTAGATGCAGAAAAAACATTTGATGTAATTCAACATCCATTCATGATAAAAACTGATTAAATTGGGGACAGAGGGAATATATATAACTGATAGCTAATATCAGAGGACATAATATCAGAGGACAGAGGGAATGTATATAACCCATAAACTCAATGGGGAAATACTTAAAGCTTTTCCTCTAAGACCCAAGACAGGAAAAGGATGTGCACTCTCCCAACTTTTAGTACTAAAATAGTAACTAAAGGCCGGTCCAGAGCAACTAGGCAAGAAAAAGAAAAGGCATCCAAATTGCAAAGGAAAAAGTAAAACTGTTACTATTTACAGATGATTTAATACTATAAATGGAAAACCCTAAAGATGTTACCAAAAAAACTATTCTAATAAATGAATTCAGTAAAGTTGCAGGATACAAAATTAATACATAAAAATATGTTGCATTTCTGTACACTAATGATGAACTATAAGAGAAATCAAAAAAGCAATTCTGTTTACAATCACATCAAAAAGAATAAAATGCCTAAAAATAAATTTAACCAAGTAGGTGAAAGACCTATACATCGAAAACTATAAGATACTAATGAAAGAAATTGAAGGTAATACAAATAATTGGAAAGATACTCTGTGCTCTCAGCTGAGAAGAATTAATATTATTAAAATGTCATACTACCCAAAGCAATCTACAGATTCAGTGCAATCCCTGTAAAAATCCCAATGGCATTTTTTCACAGAAAACAAATAATTCTAAAATTTATATGGAGCCACAAAAGACTCCAAATAGTTGAAACAATCCTGAGAAAGAACAAGCCAAGAATATCATGCTCCCTGATTTCAATTTATATTACAAAGCTATACTAATCAAAACAGTATGGTATCAGCATTAAAAACAGACACATAGATCAATGGAACAGAATAGAGAACCCAGATATAAATCCACATGTATGTGACCAATTAATTTATGACAGAGGAGGTAAGAATACACAATGGGTAAAGGACTGTCTGTTCAATAAATGGTTCTGGGAAAACTGGGGAGCTACATGCAAAAAAAAAAAAAAAAAAAAGTGAAACCACTATCTTATAGCATACACAAAAATTAACCCAAAATCAATTAAAGGCTTGAATATAAAACCTGAAACCACAGAACTCTGAGAAGAAACTTCTTTACAGTAAACTCCTTAACATCAGTCTTAGGGATTTTTTTTTTTTTAAATCTGACTCCAAAGATAAGGGAAACAAAAGCAAAAATAAACAAATGGGACTGCATCACACTAAAAATCTTCTGAACAGTAAAGGAGACTAACAGAATAAAAATGCAATCTAGTGAATAGGAGAAGATATTTGCAAATCATGTATCCAATAAGGGGTTAATACCAATATATATGTAAAGAACTACAAGTCAAAAAAACAGTCAAGTTAAGAAACTAGCAAAAGGGGGCATCTGGGTGGCTCAGTTGGGTAAGCGACTGCTTCAGCTCAGATCATGATCCCAGAGTCCCAGGATCAAGTCCCTCACTGGGTTCCCAGCTCAGCCGGGAGTTTGCTTCTCCCTCTGCCCCTCTCCCCTCTCATGCTGTCTCTTACACTTTCTCTCTTTCAAATAAATAAATAAAATCTTTAACAGAAAAAAAAAGGAAAAAGTGGGCAAAAGATCTGAAGAGACATTTTTTTTTCAATGAAGACATACAGATGGCTGACAGGCACATGAAAAGATGCTCAATATCACTAATCATCAGGGACATGCTAATCAAAACAGCAGGAGATAATCACATTACACCCATCAGGCCATTACCAAAAGAACAGAAATTAGTGTTGGCAAGGATGTGAGGAAAAGGGAACCTTCGTTGGTGGTAGTGATGTAAATTAGCTCATGCACTATGGAAAACAATATGGAGTTTCCTCAAAATTTTAAAAATAAAACCACCATATGACCAATTACCCTACTGGGTATCTAACTGAAGAAAACAAAAACACTAATTTGGAAAGATATAGGTACCCCTCTGTTCATTGCAATGTTATTCACCATTGTCAAGATACGAAAACAATGCCTAAATGTCCATCAGTGAATGAATGGCTAAAGACAATGTGGTAGATATGTATAATGGAATACTACTCAGCCATAAAAAGAATGAAACCTTGCCATTTGTGATAACATGAATGGAACTTGATGGTCGTATTCTAAGAGGAATAAGTCAGACAGAGGAAGACAAATACTGCATGGTTTCACTTATATGTGGAATCTAAAAACAAACAAAACCCAAGCACACAGATACAGAAAACAGAATAGTAGTTGCCAGAGAGGTTTTAGAGAAGTAGGGGACTGGGTGAAGGGGATGAAGAAACACAAACTTTCAATTATAAAATGAGTAAGTTATGGGGATATAATGCACAGCATGGGGAATATACCAAATATTATTATTTTAACTTGCAAGGTAATAGATGGTAACTAGGCTTACATTGTGATCTGTTTGCAATGTATACAAATGTCGAATCACTATGTTATACACCTGAAACTAATATAACATTGCATGTCAGTTAAATGCCATTTAAAAAAATAGTATTAGTTTCTCAGCTGCAAAACTATTTGCTCTTCCAACCTTCATTCTAAGACTAAATGTAATGCTCTTCTATATAACATGGAGTTGGGACTAGAACATAAAGCATGGAAAACCAACACTCTTGCACTCTCAGGTCTATAACCAGGTAAGGGCATAAAAGTAGAACAGGAAAGCCTGCTGAATTAGCTATAGGACATAGGGTGCATAGAGAAAAGACAAGTTTCCAGAACACCTAAAAACCACATTGTATCTATATTTCTATTTAGTTGATTTTTATATAAACCATGTCCTTTCAGGCGATTAACTGGACCACTATGAAAAACCAGAGGAATAGTATTAGTAAGTAAATCAATACCAAAGGCAGATCCAATAGTGATTGCAGTCTTACATTTGATCTACATAGACTATAAAGAATATAAAAATGAGACCCATCAAAAGAGAACAACTCAAGAGCTTTTCATTAAAAATAAAAACCATTTATACAGAAGTATTTCAAAATTTATTTATGAATGTGTTTAAAAGAGTATAAAAGATTTATTTTTTTCTTTTGCTCAAGTTTGTACCCTGGATTAAGTAGAGGTTAATCTAAAAAATGCCAAAGTTTCCCCCAGCATTATCTGAGAATTACATAAGAATTAGCTGCTTTGAGAGATAAGCATGTAGCACCCATAACTCTTGCAAACCCAAAAGTATCGAATTATTCCCTCCTTTTTTTATCTTACTAACATTGCTGTAATTAGGCTTCCAATAAGATGTGAAACCAGTGAGAGAGTGTAACATTTCACTGGCAGTAGAAATTAAATCTGAGCTCAGCAATCAGATTCTACAAACATGCATCAATAATAACAGGGGAAAACTGGTCATCCCCAATGTTCGTTTAGCTGAGTGGATGGGCAACTGAAGTCAAGGTAAAAACAGTGAAGATAAATAAAGGAGTTTTAAGGAAAATCATCAAGTGAGGTTCTTCAAGGTCAGGTGACAAAGGACAGACGAAGTAAATATTTCTCATACATCCTGGAAAAAAAAAGAACAAAAATGAGTATAAGCAGCAAAACAAATTCATAGCCTCTCTAAGTACAAAATGAAGTTCCCTCAGAGAACACCCTTTACTACACTGGGCTTAAATGTCTATTTCGTATTTAATGATTTGTCCCAGTGACATGTTTTAATTTTCAAGTCCCATTGCATTTGATTCACAAAATAGTCTCTGTCGACAATGTAATGGCTTGTTGAGTGACAGCTCATCAGCTGTGTTCTTAGAGGTTAACATAGGTCACAAACAATAGTATTCACAAATACTGTCACCTACCTCCATAGTTACAGCAAGGACAGGACAACACAGTTTGAAGCAGTGCAATTTAAATGGAAATATGTGGCGTAGAATGGCATTGTATTATGCAGCAGAATGGTGACTTTTAAGGGGACCTCCAGGAAGGGAACTAGACTAAATGAGTCCCCTCCACCCCCCACCCTGTGCAAAGGGTCAAGAAGTCTCCATCAAACCTCCCAGAATGCTGTGCAACATTACACTTGGGATTCAGACTATTGCTGCTCTAACATTCCAGGACACTAAAATCTCAGGTTGCCTCATAGGTCATGTTGAAAGTGCAAATGCCCTTGAAGACACAGGATTTAGAGTTTCCACAGCATTTAAGGAGTCTCACCTACCGGTATCAGAGAAAACAGAACTTGAAGTGATTCTTTCAAAGTCCTACCCTAGTTATATCATAAAGAGTAGCAGAGGAGGCTAGAAAACCAAAAAAAATTTTAATATAAAAATAATTTTTAATTATATATAAAGGAATATGCAATTAATGTGATTTAATTTTTAAAAGATTGAAAGATAAAGAACAGTCTGTCTATCCAAATACACTTATCAAAGACCTACTACTTAAGTGTTCATATGATGTTCCAAGAAACAAGTTTTTTTTTCTCTTTGTCTTTCATCATTGTTGTATTTTCTGCCTTCCTCCTTTTCTGCTTCCTCAGCTTTTTACTGATTCCAGTAGTTCCTCCAAGCCCCATCTGTGAACTCTCTCATTCCTGGAGGAGCTCAGGTGTCATCTGTCAACTTCTAAATAAATGACACAGTCTAAATACATTCTGTGTATTAAACTTTCATCTACCTGTTCTTTACAAAACATGTCCAGGGTAAAAATCTTCATATACGGCTTCTCTTCTTTTGTATGGTGTCCTTCAATGAATAGATATTTCATTTTAATGTATATTTATCATTTCCTTTTGGTTTATACTTTGGATCTTACAAAATCCGCCCTAGCTTAATTTTATAAATAGTCTATTTTCTTCTAAAATTTGAAAAGTCTTCTTTTCTACTTAATAAGGCTTAATCCACCTGGAGTTGATTGGTTATGATTTCATGTGGGTATTCAACTGTCCCAGTAATATTTGTTGAAGAGTATACTTTCCCCACTGATGTGCTTTGCCTTCTGTCATATGTCAGAATTCCAAAAATGGTTGGGTCTGCTTGTGCCAGTTCCAGACTGTATTAAATGTTTAAACAAGTCTTTATACATACTTCTTTATTTTTAGTAGTGAATTGGTTATTCTTGGTTCTTTGATCATAATTTAATGAAATCTATAGATTATTTGAGAGCTCATTCCTATTCCTATCCATTAATAAGGTATAACTTCATTCATTTATTCCTTAAGATCTTTCTATAAAACTTTATATATTTTTTAAAGGGCATGGCATTTTTGGTTTTATCTTTTTATTAATTTTTTGTTTATTTGCAATTTATAGAAGTTTTTATATATTGATCCTAAATCTACCAAATTTGTAGTCTTCTTATTTATTCTGATAACTTAAATATCAATTCTTTTTTATTTTCTGAGTAGGTAATTGTATCATCTGTGATTTATAAATGTTTTTCCTTTCAACCTTCACATATGATTTAAAGGAAATGCCTTTAATATATTTCTATTATAAATTTTTGTTCCCTTTATTAGCTAAAGAAATGTCCTTTCTGTTTCTCCTTTCCAAGGAGCTTTTATCACAAATGAGTACTGAAACTTTTCAAATGTTTTCTCTGTATCTACCGAGATGATCATATGGTATTTCTCCTATAATTTAGGAGGTAAATCATCTCAGTTTTTTGGTCTTGTTTTGTTTATTCATTTGTGATCAATCAAGCTTCCATCTGAGATAAATCCAATTTGACAAGGATATATTATGCATTTTAAAGAAATTTATTATTGAATCTGTCAAAATTTTGTGATTTTTTTTAAGTCTGTATTTATGAATGAGCCTATATTCATAAATTTTTTTTTCTGTGTGTGATCTGATTCAGGTTATAGTGACTTGTTTAATTCTTTGGAGATTATTTTCTCTTTTTTCATTTATCTGGAGAACTTTCTAGACTTCTAGAATAATCTGTTTTTCAAATATTTAGTAGAGCTTTTCTGCAATACGTCTAGGCCTGGTTTTATTTTATGCAAAGAAGATGACAAATTAAATTAGATCATTTTTGTATCATTTTGAATTCCCACCAATAATACGTGAATGAACTCTTCTCCCCACAGCCTTCCCAAAAGAGTATATTGCCAATCTTTTGTTCTTTTGCCAAAATAATAGATGAGAAATGGCATTTTGATTTAGTTCTTAATTTATGTTCCTTTTATTGTGATGAATTCATTGAGTGCTTTAATTCCAGAGATTATGTTTTTTTCTGCTTTGAAGTTCTATTTTGTTCTTTTTCAAATCTTCTTGGTTGTCTTTGTCACTTGTTTTTGCTCATTGTTTCAAATCCAAAATTTATTACATCATGGGGCATCTGGGTGGCTCAGTGGGTTAAAGCCTCTGCTTTCGGCTCAGGTCGTGATCCCAGGGTCCTGGGATAGGGCCCCACATCGGGCTCTCTGCTCAGCAGGAAGCCTGCTTCCACCTCTCTCTCTATCTGCCTGCCTCTCTGCCTACTTGTGATCTCTGTCAAATAAATAAATAAAATCTTTTTAAAAAAAAAGAAAGAAAGAAAATTTATTACATCATATGTTTTATACATAGCTATTTTAAATTTAGTATCAAAGCATTTCAGTATATCAAATCATTTGGTTCTAAATCTTTGTTGTTTTGCCATCCCTCAGTCATAGCCATCTGTTTCCTTGTGCCTGTGCTAAGTTCCAACCACTGTCGTATGCTTGGGATAGATCAATGAATAAAACAGTCAAAGGGCCCTGACTGATGCAATATGGAATGTGTATTACACCTTAGGGAGAGATTAAGAGTAAACAGAAAATAATATATATAAGCAAATAATGTTAGAAAGCTATGTTAGAAGTTGTGGAATGCCACAGAAAAAAGAAGTGAA